AAGAGGAAAGGAGGAGTATTAAGAAGTTGGATATTAATGATAAAAAAAAAAACAATTTATGAATTGAAAGGACATTTAGATTTACGAGATTTTGTGAATTTAGATGTATTTAGTTGTCGAAATAATTGATTAACTAGTTTAGATTTAAGCAAGTGTGTTAATTTAACTGGAATTTATTGCAATTATAATCCCTTAATTTCTTTGGATGTCAGCCACAACTCTAAATTAACTGATTTATACTGTGATGCAGAACTATTTACTGAAAATAAAATAATTGGTCTAGAAAAAACTTCCATCGTAAGATTAGATTGCCGAGGTGGTAATTTACTTAAAAAAAGTAAAGATGTTAAGTTCATTTGAGAAGTATTTGTCCGAAAATATAACTTTACCTTTCCAGAAATGAAATTAATAAATATTAATGATTTAACCGAATTGGCTCACCAGGTAAATGAAAAAACAGCCAAAAATGAAGAGTTTTTAAAAAAGATTTGTCCCAAAGAAGCAGAAGAATTTATTCAAAAATATAAAGGCGATTATTACTGAATATTAGACCAAATAGCCAATAGCATTCTAGCTCGATGTTTAGTTATTATCAATCGTTTATATGAGGGCAAGGATGAAAAGTATGAAAAATATTTAGAGGAATTAGCCAAAAAGGATTTAAAATGCTCCTTCATGAACCCCAAAAATCCCGAGGCTTCTCTTTATCAAAATAGGGAAAAGTTAGTCAACCAAGCCCTCACTGGTGATAAAACTCTCTTAGCCAAAATAGCTGATTTACCTTATATTTCCGAGTGAGTAAAAGAGCAATTACTTAAATAAATACTTAATAAATAATTCACTACGGTAAATACTTATTAGATAAGGGGAGAATTACCTCCCCTTTTTACTTATTGCCTTAATTTGATAATTTGACATGTAGCACTTCATATCAAATTATATTTTAAAATTAAAGATATAGGCCAAAGTAGAGAAAGCCGAAGAAGTTGCTTAGTTAAAAAGATTTTAAAGAGACTGGTAGAGTTGTTATCATTAAAAAATATAAATATAAGATTATCAGTTTAGCCCTAGGTTCATATTAGGCTAAGGGTTCTAGTTTAGTTCCTCGTTCTTACGAGGTTCGGCGGAACTAGCTAGGGCTAAACTAATTAATCACAATGCCGAACCTCGTAAATGTTCGAGAAGTAGAATTAACTGCTGCTCATTCACTACCTTTCAAAAAAAAAAGTAAACACAAAGAGGGTTATTTTAACTCTTATTACGCCAAAAACAAACAAAAATTCCTCCTAGCTAACCAAAAATACCGACTTAAACTACAAGCCAATCAACCCCTAAAACCTCCCTCCATCTTCCAACAAACCAAACAAAAACAACTCTTAAAACTCCTAGTCAATCACCGCTCTTTTGTTCCCGTTCCTCAGAAACTAAAACACCCGATAATTAAGAATTGAAATGCTGATAATTATTGATACCCTAAGAAACTAGACTTAAATAACCTAGAAAGAGGCTGTGTTCGCATTTATGAGGATAATTGAAACAACTGTGCGATTATCTGATTAGATATTGACTATAAGAAATGGACTAAATTAGCTAAATTATTCAAGTGCGGTTATATCACTAGTCCCAAAGGTCATATTCGCATCCCAGTTCCAGTTAGAAGTTTAGGAGGTTTAAAAACTGGTGCTTTGTATTATCAAGGAGAGAAAATTGGTGATTTTAAAGTAAGTGGAGAGGTAATGTTGCCCGGTAATTCTTATTATTTTAATATGTAAAGTGTATATTGTTACCCTTATTTATTATTGATTATTTCAATAATATTTTTTTCTATTTCTTGATATAATTCAGGATTTTCTACTAAATAATCAGTAACATTTTCTTTTCCTTGGCCTAATTTTTTCTCATCATAAGAATATCAAGTTCCGCTCTTTTGAATAATATTTAACTCAGTCGCCAAGTCAATAATTTCCCGTTCTTTTTGAATACCCTGAGCAAAGATTATTTCTAAATTAGCAATTTTGCCCGGTGCTGATAACTTGTTTTTCACTATTCTGGCTTCCACCTCAATACCTACCAGTTCTCCATCTCGCTCGATTTTGTCTTTTCTTTTCAATTTAATGCGCAGGTCAGCATCGAAATGTAACGCCATTCCGCCAGTAGTTGTCTCAGGATTTCCCCCGTAGAAACCAGTATTAATTTTATTTCTTATTTGGTTAATAAAAATGATAACTACTTCTTTATTAGTTAACTCATTTTTTAATCTGCGTAGTCCCCATGACATTAATAGTGCATGAGAACCAATTTTGTGTTTTTCTAAGTTGGCTTCTAATTGGGACCGGGGAATTAAATTAGAAACTGAGTCAACAATTATTAGGTCGACGCCACTCTTAATTAATTTACTCATTATCTCAAATCCTTCCTCACCACTGCTGGGATAGGCAATTATTAAGTCCTCACTTTTGACACCAATATTTTCCACATACTTGATATCTAAGCCATTTTCCAAATCAATATAAGCAGCTTTTTTTCCTAATTTTTGGCATTCGCTAACTGCGTGCAAGGCTAATGTGCTTTTGCCACTGGATTCTAGACCGAATATTTCTACTATCTTTCCGCAAACGTAGCCACCAGTGCCAATGGCTTGGTCGAGGAGGAGACTACCAGTTGATAATACTTTTTGCTCTTTTGACTTGCTCTTTCCCAAAGTGGTGATAACGCCCTCGCCATATTCTTTGACAATACTGGCAATAATATCTTTTAGTTCTTGGGAAACCAAAGATTCTTTCTCGGTTCTACTTTCTTTTTTTTGTGGCATATTAATATTTTTTTCTTTTTTTGACAAACTAGTTAATTACTCCTTAATTTTTCATTTAAGTATAGAAAAATTTTTTCAACGCTTTCGGTTGGAGAAAGGTAAGTAGTATCCAATTCTCAACTATCAGCAGTCTTTTTCAGTGGAGATTTTTTTCTTTTTTCGTCTCGTTCATCTCTATTTTGCAACTCTTTTTTTACCGCTTCTGAACTTAATTTTATTTCATATTGTTTATTTCGGCGTCGGACTCTTTCCTCCAAACTAGCTGTTAGAAAAATCTTAATTTTGGCATCCGGCAAAACTTCGGAAGTTATATCGCGACCGACTACCACTCAACCCCTTTCCGCAGTTAATTCCCGTTGAAAGTCAAGGATAATTTTTCGTAACTTAGCGAGTGGCGATAACCGGGAGGCTAAATCACTAATTTCGGGCGAACTAAGTTGACCTCGTAATTTTTCTAAATCAGCGACTATTCTTTTTCTATTTCCTGCTAGCCAATCTTTTCAAAGCAGAAGCAACTTTTCTTTCTCACCTCCACTTCCGAGAGAATTATTTTGCTGATAAAAAAAGGCAAAATATCGATATAATAAGCCACTATCGAAAAATTGATAACCGAGTTTTTTCGCTACTAACTGGCCAATAGTAGTTTTCCCAGAACCAACCGGCCCATCAATAGCAATGTTAAATTTAACTATTTTTTTTTCTTTTTGTCCCATCAAGTTTTAAATTCGTGGTATTCGTCTGAATTTTTTATCATTTTTTCTATTCGCTTTTGAAATTCATCATGTAATTCACCATGACCACCTCCTTTTTCACCATCATATTTAGCATGCAAAGAGTTAATTACGGAGTGAGCCAATTCATGGGCAATAGTTTCAATCACTTCCTCCCAACAAATATCAAAATAATTTCGACCTGATTGTTCGTCTGTTTGATAGACATCGGTCAGCCATTCATCATAACCTTCCCGATTAAAAAATAATTTCTTTTTTAATTTAATTGTTATGGAACGATGGTTACGACCCACTATTTTGACTTCATCTATGATTTTTTCGTTTTTATCCTTGAAGGCTAGGGAAGTCACTGGGTCAGAGAGAGTTAAACCAAAAGTCTTTTTTCCTTCGGTAGAACCTTTCTTGTCTTCTTTCGTTAGGAAACCACCATAACCATCAAAATCAATTTTGACAGGTCCACGGAGGTCAATAGCCCATTCTTCTCCGTTTTTTTCTTTCATATGATGAACTGTTTTGAAATGATTAACATCATCCGGAAAATCCTTGCTGGCCTTTCGTCCTCCGACTAACACTGGCTCAATATATTCTCATCTCTTTGAACCATCCTCTGGCTTTAATTCTTCTTTCATAAACTTGTGATATCAAGCGTGAATTACTTTTTTTAATTGGACATCTATCTCCTGCTGCTCATGAAAAGGAATTTTCCAATTTCGCTGAGTAATATCCATTTGTTTCCTTAACTCTTCATAAGTTTTACCGATGCTTACTTTTGTCTTTAATTCAACTAACTTTTTACCTCGGTCATAGAGTAGCGAATAAAGAATTTTTAATTCTTCGTCAGTTAGTTTATTTAAATCTATTCCGGTAATGACAGAATCGAGTGAAATTTGACTATTATTTAGCCCACGCTGTATTTCTGCTCGTTCGTTGGAGGAAAAGTTTTTGTTTTTGCTATTTAAGGCACGCTTAATAGTTTTTTCTAGGGTTTCACTATCTTTTAATAGTTGACTAACATCTTTTACACTAGGTTCGGCTAATTGTTCTCCTAAGTCTTTCTTATAATCAATCACTGCGATGGTTTGCCTAGTTGCATCTGGTCGCAGGTAATATCAGACAGAAACACCTACTATCATGGCAATCAGAAAAAATAAAAATATATAGATTAGTGTATCATTATTTTGATTATTTCGTGAACTCTTGCCAGTATTCTTCATATAGACTATTTAAATAATTTTTAAGGGAATTAATATCAGCATCTAATTTTGTTTGTTTCATGGTATCTCGTTGGCGACAGGTAATAGTATTACTTTGGAGAGTTTGGTCATCGACCGTAAAACAGAAATAAGTGCCAATGGCATCCTGCCGACGATAACTTTTGCCAATATCATTAGTTTTTTCATAAGTTACCGTGAAATTGCTGATTTTCAGCAACTCACAATATAATTGATAGGCTTTGGCACGGATTTTTTCCTTTCCGCCCGCTTTGTCTTGGCTAACCGGTAAGGGGATAATTGCTACAAAGTAGGGAGATAAAAGAGGGTGAAGTCTTAAAATTTCTCGGTTAGTTTGCGAACCATCCTCATTCGTTTTCACTTCCTCCTGATAAGCATCTTCTAAAGCAGCCAACATTAATCTTTCTACTCCAAAAGAAACCTCTATTACTTCCGGGACAATTCCGTTAATACTTATTTTTTTTCCAGAATGTTGGCTGTGCTGGGACAAATCATAATTGCCACGATGGCTATTGCTACATAATTCTCCTCAACCAAAATGATAGTCAAAATATAAATCCAGAGTTTTTTTGGCGTAATGAGGCAACTCCTCTTTTTTTAAATTCACTTGTTTAATTTTTTTTTGATTAATAATAATCTTTTGGAGAAAGTTCCAAGCATTTTCAGTTCAATAAATTCATCATTTTTCGCTTTCCTCCACCGAGCAAAAAAATTCTAATTCTAGTTGTTCAAACTCACGAGTGCGGAAAATGCCATGGCGAAGAGTAATTTCATTACGAAAACTTTTGCCAATTTGTCCGATACCAAAAGGTAGCTGCCGGTGAGTACTCCTTTGGATAGACGGAAAATTAATGAATATACCTTGGGCTGTTTCGGGTCGTAAATAAACAACGTTTTCTTTGCCATCTACTATTTCTAAATCAGTAGAGAGAAGTAAATTAAATTTTCGTGGAGAACTAAAATTATTCTTACCACAATTGGAGCAAATTGCCTTAAAATTATAGTTATTTTTATCTTCTAATTCTAAAAAAAGAGCAAAATCAGAAGGTGAAATTAAATTATCAAGTCGATATCTTTTGCGACAGTTGCTACATTCTACTAATCAATCACAAAAATTTTTTTGGTGTCCAGACGCTTCCAAAACTTTCGGATGAGTAATTATTTGACTATCACAACCAACATTATAAGGAGAAGAAGTAATAAAATACTTTCATCAGAGATTTTTTAAATTTCTTTTTAATTCGGTTCCGTGAGGACCTAAATCCCAAGCACTGGCTAACCCCTGATAAATTTCGGCATTGGAGATGAGAAATCCCTGTTCCTTGAGATAACTAGTTAATTCTTTTTTTTCTTTTGCAATAATTCCAGTATTTTCTGGCATTAAATTATTTTACTTTTTATTTGCTTTATTCTCCTATTGCTTTCAATTCTAACTACCGGGGCAGAAATTTATTTTACTTTCATTCGCTTCTTTCTTTTAACTACTACTATCGCAACTACTGTCACTAATATTACCGCCAAAGAAACTGGAATAACCATTTCCGGACGGAAGAAATTTGACTTTGGCGGTTGAGTTTGTGAATAACTCTCTAAATTTTTTAATAATTTTTCTACTTTTGATTCCTGTTGCTGGTAGGCTTTTTGTTGGTAAGGATTGGTGCTGAATTTTATACCATACAAGTCTTTTTTGATTTTTTTTAATTGACTTTGTAAGTTATTAACCACACCATTTAATATTTTTTGGGCTTCGGTCAATAAACCATTTAATTCGACATTCGCTACCTCTTCACTAACTTTTTCGCTAACTTTTTCCTCAACTTGTCGCACTTCGATATCACTAGTAAATTCACCATTTTGTAACTTAACTAATTTTTCTTTTGTTGCTTGTCCCAATTTATCAATCTCCACTTTAAATTCCTTGATTTTCTCATTAATTACTTTGGCCATCATTTTTCCATATCCTCGGGGGTCATTTTTGGCTAGTTCATTTTTTTTCTCAGTAATTTTGTCTTTTTGAACTTCGCTTATTTTTCCTTCGTTTTTTGATTTTTCAATGTCAACTAAACTATTTTCTCTTTCTTTCTCAGTTTTTCCAGAAAGTCCTTGCAGAGCATTAGTTAACTTGCTTGATACTTCTTCGTCTTTTTTAGCAATATCTTCCTTAATAATCGTCTTTAACTTTTGCTCGGTATTATCATTATCGGCCTTATTTTGCTCACCATTACCTTGACTATTTTTTACTGGCTGGTCAGTTGAATCTCAATCAATCTCTTCCGGCTTATCTAGATTGTATTTTCAGCCCTTTCCATCACTGGTCATTTGGATTGTATGTTTCAAACTTTCAAAAAAATTACCACTTTCTTGTCAAGGCTTATAAGTTTCATATTCTTGCTTTTCCTCTTTATTGCCATTTTTGGCTATCCTTATTACTCTACAAAAAACTAATTTCCACTTTTTAATAATTTTTTGGAGGAACTATAATTTGTGCTATCTGTTCAATTTTTTGCTGTTCGGTTTTTAGTTGAGTTTCTAATTCTGCTATTTTAATTTTAAGTTTTTGATTTTCGTTCTCTAAGTTGTTAGCTCGTAAAAAAGTTTCATTTTTTTCTATTGCTTGTCTTCTTATTTCTTCCAAAATGATTATTTTGCTTTCTAATCTTTCAATGCGTTTATTAGTTTTGTCGGATTTATTTTGTTTTATTTCATCTAATGTTATTCGACTTTCTCTAATCTTCTTTCCTAATTCTTCAATCAACAATTCAGGGTTGTGTTTTGCCAATGCTTTTTTGGAGTAGTTTACTAGTTTCCAAGCTTTAATGTCATAGTCATAAGGGCGAAGTATGCTTTGAAATGTTGTGTTAGAACAACAAAAAGAACAAAGATTATTGAGGGGCAAATGTTCTAAACCACCAATTATTCTTTTGTTATTAGAAATATCCACATATTTTAAATTTTCACAATTTTCTAATGCTTTTAAAGAACCATAAAAATCACAAGCACTACCATAATATTCGTTGCTCCCAATTTCTAATTCGTGAAGGTTTATTGATTGAGAAAAGACTTTGAGGTTAGCGGATATTTTGTTGCCAAAAATTTGAATTCTTTCTAATTTAGAGATATTGCCCATAATTAACTTGTTTAGTTCTGGAACCAATCGACAGTTTATTCCGACCAGTTTGCTATTTTTGCTTACATCCAAACTAGTTATTCCTCTGCTACATTCAAGTGTAAAACTCTCCAAATCAACAAATTCACTCAAATCTAAATGACCTTTAATGCCCATGTGTTGCGATGAAAAGCATTTAACATTCTTCCTTTCTTCTTTCGGATAATTTTGGTCTAGTCAGTCTTGGGCTTTCATAATAATAGTTTTATAGTTTTTTCTAAATAATGCCTTACTTTATTAATTTTTTAATAAACAACATTAACTCAACTTCTTCCTTAATAGCCATTTTATCTTTTGTTTATTACAAAGAGCGAGTTAAATGTCAGATTTTTGCAAAAAATCACTATTCTTGAAAAAATAAATCTCACTTCTTCTTCTCTTCCTCATTAATAATTTTTTAATAGACCTTTTTAATCTGTTTCGTTTGTCTATATACCATTTTCCAGTATATATGACAGAAAGTCAAGTAAAAAATAACGGGGTTAATCTCTCTCACCTTGCCATCCAAAAGAGAGAATTAATAACTTTACGAGGTATCACCACCTCCCAAATCCAACAAGCCTTAAAGGCTGAGCATCCTTACCCAGCCCGAGTGTTCTTAAAAACCGATAACCAAGAGGAAGATATCCCCATTTTTTTCCGAATTAAAGAAGATGAAAAATGAGTAAGACCCAAAATCAAAAAAGGTTCTTTTCTAGAAGTTCAAGGCCATTATTCTAATAGTGATAAAGGCAGAAAATCATTCACAGCCACCTCTTACCAAACACTAGACCCCAATCTCCAAAGCAAACTCACCCTAGTCCAAGCCACCCAACAACTTCTCCACTTCGAGCAAGAATTAGTCAACATTCAACAAGTTAGGAAAGATTTAGAAAGTTATGAATAGAAACAACTACATCTACCAATTAGCAGGAAGAATTACGGATAAAAAGTCTAAAAAAAAGAAAGACGGAACCACTTTTTACCAATTAGCAGTAGTGATTGAAGATAAAGAGGTGAATAAAATAAATGCTTTTAGTGATAGTTGTCCAGAAGAAATTTGACAAGCAATCGAGACTAATATTTATATCGGAAAGGAATACCTTTTTTACTGTAAGAACTTCATGGGAAGTTATTATTTAGTCGATTGAAAAGAGTTAGATAACTCTTTCTCTAAAAGAGCAAAGGAATTAGAAAATAACAAAAATCATGGGAGCAATTAGTAAAAACATGAATGGTATTTCTTTTGAAAACAAGGAATATTTAAAAGACTTCCAATGCTCTAACTGCCATTTATTTTTAGATGAGCAAGATATTCACGAAGAAAATTACTCGTTCTGATTTAGTGATTATGCTAATAAGATAACCCGAGAAGTAAGTTTAAGTGGAAAAGGTTATGTTTATGGGGCTGACTTTTGATTAAAAGGAGTAGACCACGAAAACTGTCCTGACTGAGAAAGGTGTCAAGGCTGTTATTCTCATTTTCTAGTAGCCGAAGTTAAAGAATTCCAAGATTATTATTACTGTCTTCCTTGCTACAAGCAAATGACAGGCAAGAAATTTTAAAAGAATTAAAAAGATATGAATAATAAAAAATGCCAATACCATTACCCCAACTGCCAAAAAACAGCCCAATTTCAGCACATAGTTAAATTAGGAGCTGTCAAGATAGACAAAGGCTATATTTGTAGCAATTGCAAAGAATACATCAAAAGACAAAGAAAGACAAAGTAAATCAACCTAAATAATATACTAACCATCATTTTAACCATTTTAGTCACGGAAAACTTGCTCTTTTTAGGTCTAATCCTAATCTGACTAAATCGACATTGTCAAAAATGCCAGCAAGTCAAATGTATCGAAAGAGTATTTAACCGATGCTGTAAAGACTGTCAAGGCAAGCAAAAGAAAGAATTTATTGACATAAAGTAATATGGAAAATAACTACCTAAACCACTTAAAAACTAAAAACTTATCTCCGAATACTATCTCTATTTACCAGACAGTAATCAGCAAATATTACCAAAACTCTCTCACGACCAAAAACATTAGTAAGTTTATTAAGAAACTGGCTAAAAACCGTGAGCCTGCTACTTGTCAACTCTATTTAGCCTCTT